ACCCGAAAGTACCTAACATTAACGATCGTCTCAAGGGGGCGATTCTTAAACATTTCCCCCCGTCGATGGAGGAACGATTGGAGGATCCTATTAGTACGTCACACTCCGAGTGATGCTAAATCGAGTCACCACCTCTCGCACCTGCACTCTTTAGCGGGACCCACGACAGCCGATTCCGAAATACCTAAGGAATTATGGCTCGAGTCGCTACCAGCAAATATGCAACCAGCCGTTACGGTTTTGCTCGAGGACGCCCCGCTTAACCAGGGGTCTCTCATAACAGATAAGATATTGGCAAGGACTTGCACCCGGAATGCTATATAGTTGTCTCAACGTCACGCTCGACTGTAGACCTCGATGCTGGTCACCTTACGACTCAGGATGATGGGAATAGCCGTACCATACTCGTCTCAATTTTCCAGACCGTTCCAATATACCAGAACCCTACGTCCCCCGAGCCAGGTCATGCTCCTGTAAAGCCGTAACTACTCGCCCTAAGCGGGAACCTTCCAAGCCACCCCAAGATGCGGCTTCGGGAGCGAATGCGGTTTGGTCCTGGTTCCACTGTGCTTTCGGGTCCGGTACCTGCCGTTGTCAAGCTCCCTGCTCGTACAAGGCGGGAAATTCCCTAGCTGGCGAGGAAATGGGGCCGCGCTCGCCTGCTCTTTGCCCCAGGTTGGCCGTTCATTTTATGTGCACGACTAAAGCACTAACGCCAGGTACCTAATAGATACAGGTGCCCAAGTTTATGTCGTACCTATTGGTAACAGTAAGTCTCAAGCTACGATGCTTCGACTATGCGCCGCGAATGGCTCTGTCGTTCCTACCAATGGTAAATGACAGCTCATGAACAACCTGGGCAACTAACAACAGTATCTGTAGACGTTCATCATTGCCGATGTTTCCACAGCCATACTAGGTATTGATTTCGTACAGCACTATAAATTGCTAGTCGATTCACGTAGGCTGCAGCTAACTGATATTTTGTCGCACAGCAAATTCATGGGCCTCAAAGCTCAAACAAACGCGTACCGAATCTAAGGCGCTTTTCATTCGCGTGACGATATATTCGACGCTCTATTCGAGAAATTCCTCAAATTATCCAAGCCACTCGAGGAGAGCCCGTCGGTTATCAGTCGTATGGTACATCACATAGTCACCCGCGGAACCCCAGTCACGGCAAAACCTTGCCGACTGGCACCGGGAAAATTAGCTTTCAATAAAAGTGAGTTTGACATTTTACTAGCTACTGGTATTATTCGTCCTCCTTACAGTCCCTGGGCCTCACCTCTTCACATGGTGCGCAAAAAGGATGGGGTTGGTTGGAGACCATGCGGCAACTATCGAGCATTAAACGTAGCTACATGCGTTGATAGCTATCCCATCCCCCACATACACGACTTCACGGTATCACTCAAGGGCACGACTATTTTCCCGTAGAATCGATCTTGTACGAGCACATCATCAGATCCCAGTCGCTCTTGAAGAAATCGAGAAAACCGTTATCACGACTCCTTTTGGTCGGTTTGAGTTCCTGCAAGTGCCATTTCGATTACGGAATGCTGTTCAAACTTTCCAAAGGTTTATCGATAGCATAGTACGAGACTTAGATTTTTTCACGTCTACATTAATGACCTGCTAATCGCAGCACCAAACGTAGATGAACATTATCAACACCTAATACTCCTATTCCAGCGCCTTTCTGATGATGGAATAATAGTCAACCCGGACAAGTGTGAACTTGGCAAACAGGAAATAAAATTCTTAGGTCACGTTGCTAAGCAAGAGGGTATTTTACCTTGTGAGGACAAAGTACGTGCAGTAGTGGAGTACATTGTTCATACTCAAAGAACTGAAGGCATTTCCTAGTTTAGCTAACTTCTACCGACGTTTCATCCCACATGCAGCAGAACGGTTACGTCCATTAACCAACTTACTTCGCGGTAATCCATGCAAATTAGAATTCAACGATGCCGCACATACTGCATTTTCAGAGATCAAAACGGCTCTGGCTCAAGTCACACCCTTTGCTCATCCTGATCCATCAGCCACGCTTAGTATAGCGGTTGATTCATCGGAACTTACTACAAGAGCCGTTATGCAGCAGAACATCTCCAGAAGTTGACAACCTCTTGAATTTTTCTCACGACGCCTCACTCGCATGGAGACAAGATATGGGGTTTTTGATCGAGAACAGTTAGCAGCCTACTGTCCCATCAAACATTTCCGGCACTCGGTAGGAGGTCGCGATTTTATCTTATTCACCGACCATAAGCCTTTAACGAATGCTCTGCATACCAAGTCTGACCGTTACTTACCTCGAGAATGCGGATATTTGGACCATATTTCTCAGTCCATGATGGATCTTCGTCACATTAAAGACGAGTCGAACTATGTTGCCGATGCTCTGTCACGTATTCAAGTGGATGCAGCTACTTCACCGGTGCTCGATCTTCCTGCTATGGCTGCCGCTCAAGCAGACGATCCCTTCTGTACAGGAGCACCACAAACTACATCCCTCCAGTGCCAAGAAGTACCCCTAGCAACTACCTCAGGTACTATCCTACGTGATACTTCTACCGGTCTTCCTTGACCCATCGTACCCTCTGCCTACCGTCGTCTCGTCTTCAGTGCCCTGTATGAACTGTTTCATCCAGGTATCGCAGCTACAGGTATCCCGAGCCCACGCCTCCGACCATCGCCCGCTTGGCACCGTTGACTTCAATCCATTTGGGCGAACGTTGGTTTGATCAACCACGCTCTTGTCGACGCACTCAGTCGATATTCTGATTTCGAACCTGTCTGGCATATGTGTTGGTCTCGCACTTGGTTGCTATGGTCGCTCCTGGTTTCTTGGCTCAACATGGTTCCTTCTTACGTCTGCAGCGTTTCCTGGTCTACACCACTACGAACGCAATCCCCAGATCCTGGATACAAACCAATCTGGTGTGGTACGCTAACTCGAGCAACAGATCAGCACGTTTCCCTTGGTACCGTTCCACGCAAAAGATCTTAAGTGACGACTCGGGGATCAACGATCGCTTCTTGTTCGCCAACCCTTTCGTTCTACAATCGCACGTCTGCCGATCAGTCCCACGAACGAAACCACCACTTATAGAAAATGTAAACGCTTTCTAGCGAAGGGCTCCTGTAGTGACCTACTTCTATCAAGAGAACGTGATTGGTGTATTGGAAACAATTATTATTATAACCAATTGTGTCAGGGATTGTTTTGCTGTATTTGTTTGTTGAACTGTACCAAAACACTCATTCTTCCGTTGATTGTGACCTTTCATGAATTCGGTTACGCTCAGTAACCACACTTGTAGCCTGGCACGATCTCGGTATTCTTTCGACACCACGACATCGCCAACAAATACATTTCGACTACAGACATTAACTGCCTTCTGATATTTGGCTTACGGGGGATGTTATCGGTTAACTGGCACGTAGTCTTCCTATGGTGGTGATCATAGTCAACCGCGACTCGGCACCACACTACACTTCTGATAGAAGCCCATGTTTCTACTTGAATGCGTTAATTTTGTGACTTGCTAACAGTTTCATTGCTGACGTTGTTTGCCTAAAGATTTCACTGAAATGTTTGATGCGGGATCGCTGTTTTGTGGCAAAGTGGTGAGTCTGACAGAGAAGTATGATGAACCTAGCAATGGATTACTTCCACAGTGTCTGTCTCGTTGTTATTGCCATAGTTACGCTCCTTCAAGTTTAGTAATTCAGAAAGCGATAATACACAACAACTTTCCATAAAAAGTGACATACGTTCAAAATGGTGAGGAAGGTACTATTAGAAAAATGTAAGAAAAAACAAATCTAATACTGCCCGAACAGTACTTCCCAACTGTAACAGGATTTTTCCAAATACCACTTATCACCATAAAAGGAACATTCCTATTAGGCGAGAAACAATATCCTACCCAAGGAATCGTCTGCTCAATCAGCTCCAAAGATGATCGATCAACAAGAAGACAAGAGTTGGATAACAAAATGTAGTTAATTCCCAGTCTTTTGTAGGGCAAGTTCTCAAATCAAACAGCGGGTGCGCTTTTAATATTGGCAACATGTATCGAATGTAAAAGCCAAAGTATAGATTGCCGATGTGGTATCCGACATAAAATGATGTCAGGTAAAACAATGATAAACAGTTCTCAAAAGACACAATAACGTCAGATAATTAACGAAGTGTTGGAATTTATAAACAAAGCTTAGTCGAGTTATGAATTCAACCATGAAAAATTGCTACAATCTCCGCAAATCTCTATTCCGTAAACAAAATATTATCAATGATTGAAGCCAAATACAAAAAAGAAGCACATATGCGAAATGATCAAGGTCATAGGAGCAGCAATAAGTACAACGGAATACTGAGATAGTACTAATAAGGAGAAATATGATTTTTCCCGTATTTTTGCGAGGACAAACCAAAATGGATTTTACAAAAAGGTTGGTTTCTAGACAGATGATGTTCACATAGTTGATGCTGACGTTATTTTCAGTTACGTTGTTGTCAAAGGTCTGTTACCTAGACCGGCGACAAATAAATTTGCAGAGCTCTACGTAGACCGTGTGAAGTGCAGATAGCTTGTAGGCCGTGTAGCATGGGAGTTTATACCTGTATTTAGTGAAGTAAATGGGGGATTTGAGAATTCTTGGAAGTTGGAGGGCCATTTAGTTAACGAGTTAAGGTACAGATCGCCCAAGATCGGAAGTGATGACCTATTGCCTGAAACGAAGCGATCATCAAGGTCTTTGTTGGAGCGTAACATAGTCAAGGTTTCGGTCTCCGATCTATTATACTATTTCACGGGATACTGGGACCTGAAGTTTACCATCCAGCGGACTAGAACTAGAGCAGTTGAGTAGCTGGATAACCCCTCATTAGGGAATTATCAAAAACGTGGAATCATACGGAATCAACATGAAGTGACCACAGAGAAACCAGTCAGTATATGTACGCACGTATCGAAGATATTGGGTATTGAAGTTGGAGGTTGCTTGAAAGCTTCAAGGTCAGTTGGAATGCCAAGTTATGAAGTAATATCTCCACAAGTTGCTTGCCCAACATGTTCTGGAGCAGGCTACGTGCGTAAAGGTATTTTATACGCAAATTGTGTAAAAATGTGTCAGATTCCAGAGCAGAGTATGTGGCTTTAATTCCTCTGACAGACCGACGTCTTCGGCCGCGTAGAATATGCCTTAAACTTTTTGGGTCTGTAGTGACCTGCTCCTTAGTATTTATACTTTTATTGGTATTTCTCTTTCCGCGAACAATCTCTTTGAGAAGTTCAGCGTACAAGTTAATTACGATAAGTGCCATTGCCAACATGCAAGATAATTTGATAGATCTCACAGTGATTGTATGTTCATTTTGCATAACTTGTGAGTACCACGTAGAACCAAATTAATGTATCAAATCCTAACTTTGTTCCAACCACAATAACTAAAATTATTGTGTCTCCAAAATACCGTTCAGTGGATCTACAAGAGACTGTTAACAATTCCATTCAGATGCTACCGCTTCGCTCAGAAACTTTACTGAATGTGACAACGAAGTTACTCTTTGAGCATAAACATTTCGATGTAATGTAAGTTGGTAGTTATTTTTCATCTGGATTCATTTCATATACTACAGATTTAGTTACGATCGGTATGTAGAAATAGATGGGCAGGGAAAGGAACAAGATTTAGTTAATTTCAGTAAACAAATTCATGTGTAATTGTGTCTACTTCACAGCTGATTCCACTGGAACTTCGTGTGACAGTGTTGTTTAACAAGGGTTACGCTTCGAGTGTGGTTTGGCTTATGCTTTGCAACCCTGTTATCCATTATGTCCACTCTTTGCGACAGTACTTCACTCTACTTAATCTAGTGAATACTACGGGTTTAATACAGCAAACCGTATGTTTTATTATCCTTCACATTCGTTGTTCTTAACTACTTTGATCACTTGACTGTATCTCCCAACTTGGTGTGGTGGTGGGGCTTGCTTATTGTGATGACTCAGCCGAGTGATGCTAGCTGGAACATATCTTCCTTTAGGTCCTACCATTTCAGGTTGATCAGTTGAGGTACAGTAAAACTAAAAGTAACGACTTAATGTTCTACGGCAGGTTCTACTGACTGTAGAGAGGTGTCAAAATAGTAGAGCGTTTCCCTCGAACAACCTCGCCTGTTCCCACGGATTTCTGTCTCCGGCGATAGGTTTCAAGGCGCTGTGCTAACTCATTAAAAACTTCCCATAAAAACGCCGTGCGCGGCCGGCCTCAAACAGTTATCTCTTGGGCTCTGTGGTCAAGCCCTCAGATCGCTAAAACTATTGCTAACCCAGACTCTTATCCAAGCATATGAAGAAGAGATATCCACTAATATTTGGACAGGTAAGAGGTGAAAACCGTCCCCATGCCTCTAACAACATCCAAGATCACTTTGTTCACCATCAAGTCTCCCCTCATCCATTAGTAATTCTCCCATCTTTATGGACAACCCTTTTCTCATATCCCTATCATCACGCGCCACCAATGCTGATGATTTGAGTTTATGAAATGTTATTCCTGGCCTCCTGAAGCCACAATCTAGACAACATGTTGGAGTTGTTAATGTTTAAACCTTGTCTGATAGAACAACGGGCTACCTTAGCTGGGAATAAAATCTAGTGCCATTGATGTATTCTGCGTCTTTGAAACGCTCATGCGAGATCCAAGTGCGGTCGCCCATTCGAACTCACCTTATCAATATAAAGAACCGGATCGATTTGATCTTTTTGTGTCTGGGGACTCCGTTGATACTTCCCGCTGTTGTTGGTGTAGCATTTATTTCGAAAGTAGAATATAATTTCTTAGACTGAATCCCAATAGACAATCGCTTCTGCACTACCCGATTCAATAGGAAAGTGAAAACTCCAAAAGATGAGTACACATCGTTGCCTCTACCTAAACTCACTGATTACAATTCCAGTAAAGTAAAAGATGAATTTTACAGGAAAATTTCCGGCCTTAAGGAAGCTAAACTTTCTGATGTGGTAATAATGGGTGATTTTGATACCTAAGTAAGTAAACTAAACCAAACTGAAAAGCGTTCAAGTGTATTTTACGATGTCATCGGTCAACAAACATATAGTGCCAACTATGCTCTGATGACCGTCTATCTCTAGTCATAAAGATAAGCATCGTTTGACATGATGACTCACACAATGGACACATTGATTAAATCAAATAGACCACATTGCCATCGAACATTCTTTGGGAGACGATAGAAGACTGTCGCTTATTCTGGAGCAGATGTTTAGAATCGGGTCATGCTCTAGTTTGAGCACTTATTTCTCTGTATATTACTGGACGTAGAAAAATCGCAGTATGCAAGACTCCTCGAGTTCGACATAATGATGAGGAACGTAAGAACATATTTTAGGAACAACTAGAGAAGGACATTATTTGTTATTATTACTCGACGTCCAATTTCTGTCATATTACTCCCCCAAATATTGACGAATATTTGCATAAATCAGAGATTTTTAAATATGGTGGTCCAGTTTTAGCAGTTATATTAACTTACATCATTAGAATCTGAGAACTGAACGTAATTCCATTTGACTAGTCTAGATTGCTGATCGTCCCAGTCTGTAAAAAATAACAGCAATTCCCTTGTGACGATCGCTGAGGAATTAGTTTGACCAATATGATATATATTTTGGAGATTTGTGGAGACTGTATTATTTTCAAAGTTGAACTAACGAATTAAAGCTAAGATATTACTTAAGACTACTGCTATTGTGGTAATATTTTTTAAAAATAAAATCCATGAAACGGTACGAAGAAAAACGGACTTTCGTTTTGTTTTGTTTTCATTATTTGAATAAACACAAAATTTATTAAACCAACATTTTAGTAGATACATGGTTAAATTGTAGGCTTAGGCATGACATGTAGATATCCCCGTTTGAATAACCAGTTGTACCCATTTGACGTTTTTAGTTACCTGTGCAGAAGTATCGTTGTTACTTATCAATTCTGTGATTGTTTTGTCAGGTTAACGGACTAATAACACGTATTGTGGTTCATTATCAAGATAAGTCGGTTTTGGCCTATCAATGCTTACTGAGTCGATGTTTCCCTGTTTTTTTTTACAAAGAAATACTTAGGTTTTCTTGAGATAACTTTTTATGGACCTTCGAATGGAGGACTAAGTGGTGTTTTTACTTCGTCATAACTTATCCAGACGTGTGTGCCATTGTTTAGGACCTTGGGTACATATGTCGATCGCGATTCTTCAAGAGTACTAATTGGCTTAAGTTCGGACATTTGGTACCGTAGTTGATCAACGTAACTTTCTAAAGCTTTTTGCTGTCAGTAAGCAGATTGATAAGATCACCCGGTAGTCCTAGAGTCGTCCCGAAGATTAGTTCCAAACCTAAACCACTTAGTACTCTTGAAGAATCGCGATCGACATATGTACCCAAGGTCCTAAACAATGGCACACACGTCTGGATAAGTTATGACGAAGTAAAAACACCACTTAGTCCTCCATTCGAAGGTCCATAAAAAGTTATCTCAAGAAAACCTAAGTATTTCTTTGTAAAAAAAAACAGGGAAACATCGACTCAGTAAGCATTGATAGGCCAAAACCGACTTATCTTGATAATGAACCACAATACGTGTTATTAGTCCGTTAACCTGACAAAACAATCACAGAATTGATAAGTAACAACGATACTTCTGCACAGGTAACTAAAAACGTCAAATGGGTACAACTGGTTATTCAAACGGGGATATCTACATGTCATGCCTAAGCCTACAATTTAACCATGTATCTACTAAAATGTTGGTTTAATAAATTTTGTGTTTATTCAAATAATGAAAACAAAACAAAACGAAAGTCCGTTTTTCTTCGTACCGTTTCATGGATTTTATTTTTAAAAAATATTACCACAATAGCAGTAGTCTTAAGTAATATCTTAGCTTTAATTCGTTAGTTCAATTTTAAAAATAATACAACTTGCACAAACCCCCATTCTGATAATAATAATAATATGCTCACTAGTAACTGACTTCAAGATAAATTTCCTGGAGTTCTAGTGTGAAGCCGTGACCAGTAGACTCCAATTTTCGTCGAATGTGAGACAGTTAACCACCTCAGACGCTGAATGAAGGGTTGCGCAAGATCATGGAGCGATTGAAGTTAAATACTGACACTGTTGTATACCGGCTCAGTGGCTTAGAGGCTAGTCATTTGCGCGCGAGACTGAAGGTCGCAGGTTTGATTCCCGCGTGAGGGGTCGTAGATACCCTCTGCTGAGGAGTCCCACGCCAGGACGAAATAACCATCCAGTTCCTCCAGGTTTACAATGTTTATTTAACGTATATTGACTCGTGAATCCAACTTTGATAATGTTATCTGAAATATTAACCTTAATAATACTTGGACACGTAACGAGGGTTCGGGAAGAGCGGATCCGAGGAAACTAGGCTGGTTTCAGATGTTTACGTAGATGTATTGAACGGATATTCAGCCTTCGGCAGGTTCTGGAACATAGACATACTTTCGACGTATGATAATAGTTGTATTCCCTGACCTTAGTGGGGAGTTCGATTTTGTTCGTAATGTTCTGTGCCAGTGTCTTTCATTGAAATATGTACTAAAGATGTATATTAGCCTTATACTGGCTCTCTGTTCGAACATATAGTGTATTGTCATCGGGGTTGATTTTTCCAAGTGGTGTTCCCCAAGGTTTTCCAACTTACCCATTTTTATTTAACTTTGTCATAGACAGGCTTTTAAGTACAACACTTTCATCATCTGGCTTTTCAGTGGTTGATCTACCAGGAAATCCACTTGCTGACCTAGAATGCGCAGATCATATAGTTCTGTTCGGTGAGGATGCTGACAAAATTCAGTGTCTTCTGATCTACCATAAGCAACAATCCGAACATATTTGGGTTGTCTCTCCCTCTTTAAGTGCAAAATGTTGGTCCAAAACTTGTTTGAGCCAACGCCTGTACTAGTGATAGAAAGTGAAGTCAGTTAGCCACAACGTAGAAGCCGGGACTTATTTACTTTGATCATCTTCACACTCGAAAACTTATGTTACGACAAAATTCCATTCACTGAGCGAAATTCGACTACTTAAATCTATCAATTGAAGTTTTCACACAATATGTTTCTTTTCAACTGTTTCCGAGCATCAACATCCTTACCATTTCCCTTACTTAACCTTAATGTTTATGTTCATGTCCATACTGTATTTCCAAAATACATGTGTATAATCCCAACGTAATAGATTATACTTCATTCTATCATTCAACTTTGGATCTGTCTCCTGAAAACCTTAATCTCTCTCTTTTCAAACTCGTAAAATATTGTAGAAGTGACCCGCAACTAAGCATGTAACTTTTAGCTCCCGTCATTCATTCAAAGTTTACTGTATGTAGTGTATTATACATATTAAGATTAAAGGAGATTTTTTAATATTTATAGTATGATTGATATGATGAAAGTTGTGTTAAGTTTAGTTTAAAAATACTTGTCTAACTGTTCTGTTTATCTCCATATATCACACTTTATTCATCAATAACTGTTTCTAGATCAGTTCAAAGTGTAAAGAAGCTAACAAATCACTTCACTTGACACAATACTGGATAAGTTTTAGTTGTTTGAACGTTATCCACGGGCAGAACACATGTTATTATATCCCCAAAGGTTTCATGACAGTGTTCTTGTCTCGTATTAGTTCGATTCATGGCTTAATCACAGTTTATTGCTTTTTAACATATACGTTATCCTAAACAGCATTGAGAAATATTGTATACTAACGCAATTTTGGAGGGAAAATATTCACTAGAAAAATCACATTGTCTTGGTAGCCCCCAAATGCCTTAGTACAGTCGAGAGTGGGGAGAGTCTGGTCTCCTTCTTCAAATGCTCTCACATGACCACGTGTATACAGCCACTGCCAGGGAAGCCCTACTCACTTCCTTCTCGTGACGGTGGTGTTGTTTGCGAAATTAAGAAGAAAAGCAAATGTTCGGCTCTTTAACCGGGTTGGTGGACACGGAGGATCCAACTAGGGGAGTTGGAAAACCCTAATTCCAAACCAATGGTGTACATGGGCTTCAGGATAGGATCCTGAAGGAACAAATAATTTATGAACCAATCGTTGGTCATCGACTATCATCGGACTGTATCTCCTGACGTTGCTCCACTGCCTTGTGGATTAAACCTTTAGGTCAAAGGCTCCAGGTGTGGCCCCCTAAGAACACCACTTGCTTCATTCTGGACACCCGAGCAATATCCCAGCCGTCACACAAATCGAATGATTTATGTGGCGCATATGTATTCGGTGCCCCTTTGTACCAATATTTATGTATTCAAATAAATAAATAAATAAAATTCATGTGATAGGCTATACTGATATCCATAGTTAGTACATTCATCTATCAAATATTAAATCTAAATAACTGAAATATTTACAAAACCAGATATCTTACTCTAATGAGAATATTGCTGAGATTGAAGAATAATGTCGTTAAATTATAACACAACAGTTTCAAAACTTCACTTCTATTATGTAACAGTTAAAGTACATAATTCAAACTTTTAACTGATTTTTATAAATCTATTTATATTTATTTATTTTCAGTAAATTATGTCTTATGAAATTACCTTACTTCCATGATATATACGTAACTTTTACGTAAGTATTGATATGGTATATTATTATATTATAATACAATATGTAATTCATTGTTTCATTTAAAGTAATTAATCCCATTTGATAAATTTCGATAGATGTATTAAGAAGATGAAGATTATTAGAACTAATGTGATAATAGATTAGTGTAATACATTTCGAAAAATCTTAACGAGTATATATGTGTGAGTGGGTTGGAGAATGCTAATCGTCGGTCTATTTATTTATTTCAACACATAAATATTGGTACAAGGAGGCACCAAATATATATGCGCCACACCATATTTGTGTGTGGGGGGGGCTGTGATACTGCCCGGGTGCCCAGACCGAAGCAGGTGGTTATCTTAGGGGGCCACACCCCGAGCCTTCGACCTGAAGATCTGATCTACAAGGCAGTGGAGCATCGTAAGGAGATGCAGTACCATGATAGCCGGTCACCAACGATTGATTCATACGCTATTTGTTCCCGCAGGATACTGGAGCCCATGTACACCATTGATTTGGAATCCGGTTAAAGCGCCGGACATTCGCTTTTCGTCCTCTCAATTTCGTAAACAACCTCCCCGTCACGAGAAGGCAGTGAGTAGGACTTCCCTGGCAGAGGCTGTATACGTGTGACCGTGTGAGAATATTTCAAGAGGGAGAGCGGACTCTCCCCACTCTCGGCCGTACCAGGGCATTTGGGGGCTATTATTGATACATACGAGAAAGATTTATACAATAAATGATATAGTAATACTTAGAACAATCAACAAGACCATGAAGCAAGCGTGAGTAATGACTTTGTTTATCTCTCTCTCATATATATATATATATATATATATATATATATATATATATATATATATATACTGAGAAAGCGTGGTATGACTATAGAAACTGGAGTTATCAGTCATTTACGCCACTTTGCTCGATTCTGTGCCTTACTATTGTGACTTTAATCCCGGCTAGTTAACACGCGATTTATTCGCTAATCGAAATACGACTTATTTAATCTTATACTGTACTAAACCAATAATGCTCGACCGGTATGAGCAGCCTAACGTCTTTATTGGTCCTTTGTTCGCCTAGACCTTCCAACTGAGTCCAGAATACCAATAACAGCTTCTACTATGCGAATTATTTATTTCAAACATACTTAGTTTATATACCAGTCAAACAGACCGCATCACACCATGAAATATAAAATGACATTTATACAAGACCAAGCTAAAAAGTGGCTTTGATTATGGGAGACTGTAATCATCAATAAACTGAGTACAAATTTTATTATTATTATTACTATTATTATTATTATTATTATTAATGATTTAAACACATAAACATTAGTACAAGGAGGCAACAAATAGATATGTGCCACATAAATCATTCGATTTATGGGAGGGCTGGGATACTGACCGGGTGCCCGAATCGAAGCAGGTAGTTTTCTTAGGAGGCCACATTCGGAGTATTTGACCGAAAGGTCTAATCCACAAAGCAGTGGAGCAACATCAGGAGATGCAGTCCCAATAGTTTGTTCAGTCAGTCAGTAACAACGTAGAACTTCGTACATACGTACATCAGTTCGAGTTGCCACACCACATTAGCACAGAGATGCAGTGGTCGATTCAAATCCCGTAGTGGTAGAGGTAATAAAAGTATAAGCAGTAATGGGGAAGATTAGTGTTTGGAGATGTTACTTAAAGAGTATAATACAGTGAAATAAATTTGGGGAAAGAAAAAAAAGAGACAAGGGGGAATAAGAAGGTTGAAATTTGGGAGAACACAAAGAGTGTATGCACCTGCGCCATTGCAAACGATTTTGAGCCATGCCATTCAGGGTATCTAACCATCGGTTGCTATCATCTCGTGGTCCCCAACCAGGTAGTCTACACCTACCAACATGACTCAGTCTACTTGTCAGTGACTTCATGGACTTGTGCCATGTTTTGGTCTGGCCGCCCCTAGCTTTCTTCCAACCTATTCCTATACCACTGAACATAGCACGTCGAGGTAGTCGGTCGTTGGGCATACGTAACACGTGTCCAAGCCATCTCAACTGATGAAGTTTCACTACGTCATCAATTGATTTGCCATCCTTACCTAGTACCCGTTTCCTAACAACTGTGTTACTTACTCGATGGTCCCATGATATACGAGCAATATTTCGAAGACACCTATGATCAAATACTAGTAACCTACGAATATCCTCTACTCTTACCGGCCATGTTTCACTGCCATAAAGTAGGATGGAACGAACTGCTTCGCAGTAAACCCGTCCTTTGGTTGATAGACGGATATCTCGCCTACGCCAACCCAATCCTGAAGCAACATTTTGCATTTCGAGGGGGAGAATCGCATCCCGAACATGCTTGCATTGTTGCTTAGAGTGGTCAGAAGACTGCATTTTGTCAGCGTCTTCGCCAAATAAAACTATGTCATCAACAAGTGAACCTCCCGGTAGAAGTTCAACCCCTGGAAATCTAGAGGAGGAAAGTGTTATTTCTAAAAGCACGTCAACAATAAAATTAAAAAAGAATGGAGAGAGTGGATAGGCCTGACGAACACCACTTGAGGTAATCAATTCTGATGACAGTTCACCATAAGCTCTCACTCTACCAGTTGTGTTGGAGTAGAGAGCCTTTATAAGGTTAATGTACTTCTTTGGTACTCCTTTCAGTGACAAACACTGTCATAGAACCTTACGATCAACAGAGTCGAATGCCGCCTTAAGGTCGAGAAATACTACCATTGTTCATACGCCATTTGTTCCATCAGGATTCTGGAGCTAGCCCATGTACACCATTGGTTTAGAATGAGGGTTTTCCAACTCTCGTAGGTGAACTCTCCGTGTCCACCAACCCGGTTGAAGCACCGAACATTTGCTTTTCATCCTCTTAATTTCTTAAACAGCACCCCGACCGCGAGAAGGTAGTGAGTAGGACTTCTCTGCCAGTGGTTGTATATGCGAAACCATGTGAGAGCATTTGAAGAAGGAGAGCTGACTCTCCCCACTCTCGACTGTACCAGGGCATTCGGGGGTGAATATAACTTAAGAACAGTCAATCGTATCATAATAATCTATAGATCAAAATAAAGCTTATAATAAAAGGAATATAGATATACATAATCTAGTTACTGAATAGTTATACAATAACAATATTAGTTCATGAATCTATGTTCAGTGGTATAGGAGTAGGTTGGAAGAAAGCTAGAGGCGGCCAAACGAAAACATGGCACAAGTCCATGAAGTCACTGACAAGTGGACTGAGTCATGTTGGTAAGTGTAGACTACCTGGTTAGGGACCACGAGATGATAGCAACCGATGGTTAGGGACCCTGAATGACATGGCTCAAAATCGTTTGCAATAGCGCAGGTGCATCCACTCTTTGTGTTCTCCCAAATTCTAATCTTCTGAATTCTTCCCGATTACTGCTTATACTCTTATTACCTCTACCACTACGGGATTTGAATCGACAAGTGCATCTCTGTGCTAATGTGGTGTGGCAACTCGAACTGATGTACGTATGTACGAAGTTCTACGTTGTTACTGACTGACTGATTAGTTCATGAATAGTTCTCAAAAGTTACCCATCATTTATTCTTCACTAAGATTTAACACTTACAACAATTAATTTGATTTTAATTATAAAAAAAACAAACAAACAACAACCTATTTATCATTTATTCATTCATTCGTTTCTTTTCTTCTTAGCTTTCATGTTAGTTATACATTATTATGGCAAAATTTTGATGCATATCTTACAATTATGCCATTAGTTGATTGTTATCCAACTAATATGAATATATCGAATATAGAAACTTGATAAGGAATATAATTCCATTAAAGAAAGAGAAAGAGAGAGAGATATCCACTATATTTTCATTTATGCTTTAAATGGATTTTCTCTCTAATTTACATCTTTTTGTTTTTATTTTTTACATTTTTTTCTTTATTTTTTTTTTCGTTTCAAATTTTAACTTTTCCTAATTTTAATCTAATTGGATCTACTAAGATAGATAGATAGAGAGACAAGAATATCATCATCCTCATCATCACCATGATAATCATGATCATCCCTTTTTTTTTATTACTTCATTTGTAAATTAATTGGCAATCATTAACATTATCATCATAATAATAAAGATATAAGTGATTTGTAAATGTATTTCTACAGGTTAATTTGTTAAAATTTAATTTTTCATATGAAAACATGAGAAAATCAGACTGGCTTTAGACATAGTTGCGGCTGCATCGATCATATATTTTCACTATTTGTCAAGCTTTAGAATATAGTTACGTTTATTGGCGTCTGACGATGATGATCTTTCTTAACTTTGTTGACTTTATGTTCGGCTTTTTGTCATGTGATTTATCCACCAATCAAAATACGACTTATAAAATCTTCTCACTGTGCCAAAACCAATGACGTTCGACTGGTATGAGCAGTCTTGCGTCCTTATTGGTCCTATGTCCGCCTAGCTCGTCCACTTGAGTCGAGAACACCAGGACCAGCTTCCAATATGCGAATCGAATCGAATCATTTATTTCAGACATACTGGGTTTAATATATCAACCAAACAGACCGCAACGTACCATAAAATAGGAAATAACATTCATACACAATAAAGCCAAAAAGTGGCTGTGAACGTGGGAGGCCATAGTCAATAAACTGAACATAGCTTAAGAACCGTAAATCGTACAATAATAACATATAGGTCAAAATAAAGCTTATAACAAGGGGAATATAGATATACATAATCTAGTTACTGAGTATTTATACCATGAGAATATATATAAATAATAATGGTCCATTAATAAGTCTCAGACGTTACTCGTGATTTAATCTTCGATCGGATATAACAGGTTCTGTGACAGTGTCTGTCATTGAAAGGTGTACCTCAGAAGTATATGGTGATACTATAATTTATGCACGACCTTGGAGCGACGCTAGGCTGATCTTGAGAGTGTTCACCTAATAACTAGAACCGAATGAGGGTTATAAGCCTATGTGAAGAATTCGAATTATGATTTACAGTTGATAGTTAAGGTTAGGAATTAGATTTACGGTTTTCATCACGAACTGAAATTAGCTATAATGCCAAAACTATTTAACCAAATGGATAAGTAGATTTTGTTTCGAAATCCAAAATCTGTTATCTTTTATCTGATTGGTTCGTCCATAGATGATAGTCTCGTTAAGTACATATTTAAATTCATCATAAACCTACTGGCGGAAATAACGCCCCGGTCGACTGAATTTTCGGGTATTGATCTCTTACGAGGAGGTTCGCCTATCGACATAGAATACGCAAATGATATAGTCCTGTTTGATAAAGATGCTGATAAAAGACAGAGTCTTTTGACAGCACTGAGCAGCAATGTCAGGATGTTTGGGATATGCTTCTCCTCCTCTAAATGCTCCAGGACTGACCTGTGTCAATACCTGAACTAAGGATAGGAATGTGTGGCAATTTGAGCCGATGCATATGTGTCTGGTCCTACGTTGTAGCTGACTGACTGATATAAATTATTATCTATGTTAGATATTCCAATGAAGTAATGATAGTATGATATATACTACTTATGCTTGCAGATATAAGTAGTATGTTACATTAGTTTGAAGTGGAATTTTTGTAACTAGACGGTTGAGAAGATGGAAATGAAGAGAAGACAGATAGAAACTCAAAGTAATCAAGATAACAACAGGAATGAAAAAATAATAAAGTGTTTGAGAGACTCTTGATGGAAGATATGCAAATGATGTATTTGAAGTATGATTTTCATATCTTACTTAAACCACTGTGATTATGCTTTAAACAATAAATTGGTCTTCCTCATTTGACATAAACTATTGAAGTTTTGTTCATAGATTGTTTAGAATTAAATCTTTTAATAAACTATACACTTTCTTGTAACACCCTTGTCATACAAACTAAATTGACAATAAGACAATCTGGATTGATAGTGAAGAAAATATGAGACTTTTGTGGAGTGCTCTATATGACTGGTCTTATTTAGTTTGACTTACTATCAAAGTGTGCTTCAAATGAGTTCTATTGTAAAGTTTGTGCTGATGATGTTCAGAGCCGAAAAACAGCAGGCAGGCGAGTCGATGACCATGATAAAAATGTACATATATATACATAGTGAATTGAATGGATCATCGAATCAATTAAGCAACTAATAGTAAGGTTAGCAGAATGAATATACACCTAAGGAGTAAGTAGTGCTCAATCATACATATTCATACAATGGTATAGATAAGTTGTCATTGTACGGATGACTCTGTCCGTTAAATAAGTTAACAAAAGGGCTTAATCAAATTAAATATGAACAAACTCAATTGCACATGAGCTACTATAGCCCGTATAAGTAATGTTAAGTTCAGGTGCCTCACGCAAGTTGTAATTCGACCTATGTTGAATTTCTAAGACATAAAAATTGCTAGTTTGAACGTACTTAGTTTTAACAGTGATTTTTGTATCTGATACCATTCGTTTATGTTGGGTGGACCCAGAAAATTCCTCGAAAAAAAGACTTAAAGGAACCCTGACAACGCTGAGAAGCATCTTATCCAATCAGCATTCAATAGAAGTTTCGCAGAAACACCTGTAAAGTGGAAAGTCACATTTCTGACTAGATGATTAGGTGAGACTATAATTTATGGACGACCTTTGAGGGACGCTAAAGTGACCTTGAGAGTGTCTACCTATTTACTAAGGCTAAATGAGGGTTACATTAGTTTGAACGATAAGGATTATGATTTACAGTTGAATGTTTGGAATTAGGCTTGGAGTTTTCTTCACGAACTGACATCAGCGATAATGCCAAGACTATTTAGCCAAATGGGTGAATGAATATCGCGCCAAAATTTAAGACCTGTTATTGTAAACCTGACTGGTTCGTCTATAAATTATAGTCTCGCCGATGATTATCTGTCCTACTGCTATGTTTAGAAGAGTTCCAGAAGCTCAAGGCCATCTAAAATGCTATAAATACCCTTGGTTTTCTGTACATAAACTAACTTTAGAGTAAAGCGTCCTTCCATATTTTGCGCTTTTTCTCTCGTGTTGAAGTTGTCGTGTTGTTTTAGCCTGGAGGTTAGTAGAATAACTTAGTAAACCTGATCAAGCGTCCAATTGGAAGATTTATCAGTTCACACTGACAATTTATTCATTTAAACACATAAACATTTGTACAAAGAGACACAAAACAGATATGCCCCACAGAAGTCACTTGGTTTGTGTGTAGGCTGTGATACTGCCCGGGAGCCCAAAACGAAGCAGGTGGTTTTCTTAGGAGGCAACACCTGGAGCCTTCGACCAAAATATCTCATCCACAAGGCAGTGGAGCAACGTTAGGAGATGCATTCTCATGTTAGCCGGTGACCAATAATTGGTTCATACATCATTTGTTCCTTCAGGATAGGATCCTGAAGCCCATGTACACCATTGGTTTGGAATGAGGGTTTTCTGACTCCCCTAGGTGGGTCCTTCGTATGCATATGTCAGTAATAAAACATGGATTGAACCAAAGGAAGTTTATGGTCGCCTTTGAATATAGAAATTAGCTTTCGAAAACGTGGATCATTAGAAACATTCAACTTAATAGGATCGGAACTACAAAGATTAATGTTACATGTGATGAGATATACAGTAGTTTTACAAACTGACTGATTGTGTCCAATTTTACCACATTTAATGCATGTAGCATAACGAAATACACATGAATGAAACTCGTCACAGGACAAATATTTACCAAACTTGTGCTCACATCTATGATCAGTTTTAAAATTTTTTGTTGACTCACTGTACATATTTCCACGAGAATAAGAACCATTATTAAACAAACGCGATTTTGAACGACCCCGAGAGTGTAGTTCATCATGACGAATAAGCAAAGTATTAGAAATTCTCACTGACTGAAAATAGTTAGTATAGGCTGTTTCAATTTCTTGAAATGAACTTTTAAGCTTCTGAATTAATTCGTTTTATAAATTCGGAACATTTATACCAGCAATCGACCGATCATGAAGTTGAGTTTCTTATCAGTGTCTAAAATTCCACTTCGTGATCTGTTTCTGTAGTTTGAGTGATAAAGTCGTTAACTTTCTCATCATTTTATGAAACTTTGGTCTCTCCCTCTTCATTCCAAGCTAGCACACTGCACATGACTAAGAAGTAATTTCTTGGAAGATTCATATGACAATGCAATCAGTTTCTCTGGAAAAAAACTCAGATTCTTTAGCAGGTTATTAGCTTCTTTGTCTACGAACGTCAAGAAATAAGATGTGAATTTATCATCTTTAATCTGTTTCCTAGTCATGCAGCAAATTTCGAACTGCTCCATATATAGTCCTCAAAGTCATCCCTACTTGAATCAATATCCAACGCCATCGCAACACCAATATAATGATTAGAAGTATTCGAATTAATATACTAACTGGGAATTTCAGAAATAGTGCAATTTAAGGGATATACAACTAGATGAGTACAAAAGAACGTATTCTATATGGAATCAGTGGTCAATCAAGTACAAAGGAATCATTAGTTCATACAAACACCACATTCCATTAAATTATTTGTTAGAAACAGATTATACTTGCTGGTTTTGACTAAGACTGTGTGTGTGTGTGTGTGTGTGTGACAGAATAGGGATTTATTTAAGAAACTTATCTCTAACTAATTAATTCCCATGTATTGGATTCACTGACATCTAAAGAAAAAGTAGGTGTTTGTTTGAAGGCGTAACGTAAATCAATATAACTGTATTACAACTGTAGACTACTCATCATACCTAATTGAAATATTGGAGAAGTATAAACTTGATTGATCAGTTTCCTTTTGGAAATAAAAGTAATATAACAAGTAACTAATTTAGACATATAGAATTGGTATAGTTTCTGTTAAGTTTTAATATTTCGAGTTATAATACATGCGAAATTAATAACACTTGAGCTACTCTAATACTGTGATGTGTACTACTGATATCGATAGATATCAGTAGTGTGTATCATCAATCGAAAATGAAATGTCTGGCAGCAGAAGATCTAAGAAACGAGAACAGTGAAGGATTGGTGTGGAAACGAAGTCACAATAAAGTCTGAGACAATTGATTGACATTTTGCAAATGAAGTATTTACTGTATGGTTCTCAGATTTTTCTAAAAGATCTTATAATTGTGTATTCAAGTACATTTGATCGTTCCCACTTATGTTCTCGTTCACTGCAATACAGCCGGTTCTTCTGTG